GATATATCCAAATCTTCTGAGTTTATTGATAATGCAAAGTCTTGACTTGAAGTCCATGCTTTTGTGGATGAACTCGCTTGATTTCGAGCAATCTAGTAAAAATAAAAAATGAGTTTAAAAATCCTGAAACTGAGCATCTTTATTGTATATCAGCTCACACAACCTGCGGGCATGTAAATTTCATATACTATATGCACATTTATCTTAGCAAATTGTCAATTAGTTTTTGATCAGTAGAAAATAAATGCACTTTTTGTATCAAAATAGTTTTACTTACTTTGGATGGTTTTGTTAGTAATAGACATTTAACTGTGGTCACATCTTCTAATTGATGTACTAATAAATTCCACAGCTCCATGTCTACAGATATGCTGACCCAACCTTCCGATATAAGAGATTCTGTGTCAGGTGACTTATCAGAAGACTTATCCGGAGACTTGTCAGGTGATGGGTCAGGCGACTTGTCAGGTGATGCAACAGAACATTCCATTTCACTTTCATCACAATCTTTTTCAGTTTCTTCGTCAAGATGTTTCTCCTCCACATCCTGAAATGGTGAAAAACAATCTTTTTATTGTGACAGAATTTATAGGTGGCAATTCTTTTGCATGATTTCGAACAATCCAACACTTACGTACCTTTCTTTTTCCAGATGAGTTATGATCTCGAAAAACCATTCCCATAGCAACACTTCTTGTAACCATGGCAGCAGTGAGAGCAGCACCCACGTTAGTTGACTGACTAAGGATATCTCTGATGGACTGCCACCACGGTGACACTGCATCAACTGGAGGTTTAGTTTGCTTCTCATCCACCATGTGACATATGTCATAGATCAACTCTTTTAAATATTGTAATGATGACAGATCATTGTAATAATGGTGTTCAGTTGATAACCATAGACACAGAAGAGTTGACTGAAGAGATAAAAATATATGTTACATGACGATTGCAACCATTTGTAAGCAATGTTAAATGTATAAACTACATTGTATATGCTAATGTGAAAGCTTGTAATACCTCTAGAATGATCAGCCGTTAATAAATCAATAAATAAGCTGCTTTCTATGAATGGTACTTGTATCACATTGTTCATTACACTATGATTGTTCCAGTTAGTTTGGTTTTACAACCCAAATATATAATGTGTAATTGCTATGTGATTTAAGGTTATTTTCTGTAGTTCTTTTCTGTAGTTCTGTAGTTCATGACGGCTTGAAATTAACAAATTTGTTTGGCAGTCTAATAGCTGGAAGTCACAAAGTAATATTGGGTAGTTCATCAGCCATGCAGAATAGTGTCAATAGAAATAAATGAATGTAATTGTGCTTCATTTGGGTTGGTACAATCATAATTTGGAGAAAAATTTGTTTATTTAGAAAGCAAAGTAGTTTCTAGTAATCCAATTGGCTTTCTAATTTTCGAAAAATGTTAATTTGATGCCCTGATCAGTAAATAATCACATCATATTAAAGCTGCCTCTCGGCTGAGATAGCTCTGCTGTTAGCATTGCACATTTCAATTAAAGAACAGAAGATATCATTAGAAAATTAACAAATCTGAGAGAGGTCTACCTGGGGTACCAATATGTATATGTATAGTATCAAAGCAAGTGGAATTGCTGTTCTCAACAAGAAGTTGAAAATATCACTTTTTACCAAAAATAATCATAAAAATCAAGGAATTTAAGATATCATTACGAAATGAAAAATCTGAGTGTGATCTACATGTAGCTATATGTATCATATCAAAGCAATCGGACTTGCGATATTCAACAAGAAGTAACAAATATCACTTTTTACTACTAAAAAAGAAAAAAATATTCATCAAAACTAGAGAATTAAAGATATCAAATCTAAGAGAGGACTGCCTAAGGTACATGTACACAAAGTATCAAAGCAATAAGAATTGTTATTTTCAAAAAGAAGTACCGATAGCTGACAGACAATGACTCATATAATAAGCTCAGCTTAACAAAGTCTATAGCGGAGCTAAAAATGTGATACTACATTTTACACTGAATCACTACTGGTATATGTTGTGTTTCAAACTTGTGTCATAGAGAACTGGAGTGTTTATTGCTTTAACTGATAATAACATAACTACACATACCATGAGTGTGTTGGCTGACAGTCCAACACTTTTTATTGCCATGCTCACGTCATTTACAGAACTTGATCCAGCCAGTACATTACCGAATAAAAATACCCCTATATAAAGCAAGAAATTTCAAGTTAGAATGGTTAGTTATTATAATCTCCCAATCACAGGTAAGTTAGTAAGTTTTTTTCTGTTTTGCATGAAATGTATACAAGGCTCATAATTAACAGTAGCCTAAGGGACACAGACTACCTATCATCTCAGAAATAATCAACAGAATTTGCAATTCAAAATGATGACTAGAAATTTGAAAATGTCATAAACATAATATTGAGTTGTCTACCCTATATAAGTACACCTACATAAACATTAACAATAAACAATTACTGACCCAATTGCACATGTTGTTCCTCTGACAAGTTTTCAAAAAGATACACTGGAATCTGAGACATAGATGCACTGGTACTGCTTTCTTCTACAGCATTGTCATCATTATCATTGTCATCATCAGAATGTTTAACTCTATCACCATGGTGATAGCAATTCATATCAAAACAACTAATAAAGCCAGCTGTATCCAGGATGTGGTCTTCTTGGAAGTGTACTCTCGGTCGATGGCTATCTTGTTGGTAATCATTCAAGAGATTTAGTAAATATTCCACTTCTGATTTTGTACAGTTCAGAACTGATATCAAGTCCTACAGGAAATGAAATGAAACATTTGTACAGTATCTTCAATATTAACTTGTACATGTATAATCATACTTACTTACCTGGCCTTAATATTCAGTATACACACGTGTTAGCAATGGATTTCATTGGGGGAATGTGAGATGACACACGATGAAAAGCACATCATAAAACAATTATTAAGTTACTGTAAAATACTTTACTTCAGCTGGAATTAATATTCGCTAAAAAAACATTTTGAGTGTTTTGTATGGAATTTATTTTGACTGATTTTTGACGAATTGAATGTAAAATATAGGGGAAAAGGTATATTAGCTGGGTTTTGACTGAATAATTCCTTCAGCAAAAATAAGTTGCAAGTGAAAATAAAGTATTTTACAGTAATCTAGGATTTGATTCTCAAACTTAACTACCTTTACTTACTTTACTAACATTTTCAAAATGGTTACTGATGCACTTACTGTTTTTGTTTTTTTTGTCACACGCTTTGCATGTTCATTAATTCATTCATTAATTTGTTGTGTTCAAGCAAAATTAAAAAAGTTAGTTTATAATCACTAACCTGTTCAATGCCTTGTGTAGCACCATCAGGTGACTGTGCTGTCATCTTTATTGCCTTGTCAATTGCATTATATGAATAGAGTAACTGTAGTTGTACATTACAGTAACGTAATAAGCATTTACTTTCATAATCTCTGCTTTCAACATCTTGTGAGTTGATCTGTTCAGCGACATCACTCACTATTCTCATTATCAAAGCTGGTTTTAAACCAATTTTAGCAGATAATATCCTTTCTAATGCCTGCAAAAAAAACAACTTATT